GGTCGGCTCGACTCGGATTGGGACTGCGGTTGGAAATTCTCTCACGAGTGCCGCCACTCCAGCGGTGGCAGCGGCCAGGGGCCAGGGCCAGGGGCAGGACGCAGTGATAAGGATATGGGATACAAATTGGAAACACATTTAAATGCCTCAGCGACTAAAACAAAAGTCCCAAGTCGAGGCATCGAAAGAAGTTACTGCCGCATAAGTAGAGAGAGAGAGCCAGAAGGGGCGGCGGCGTCTGCCTGTTACCTTTCCCTCCCTACCCTACCGTACTCCCTGGGCTGTTGGGATTTCCAAGGGGTTCGGTCGACCGCAGCTTCCGAAACCTATTTGGGTTAGTTTTCGAGTTTTCTGTTACTGTTACTGTCGCTCGTCTCAATGTCAACTGTAAAAATTTCTCAAGCGTAACAAGAAAATAAGTTACATGCTCGTGTGTACATGTGACTTCCAAAACGGAAGTTGTGGACACCCCAATGGCAATGGCAATGCCAATGCAGGCATACACTCGTACACTTCGCATTCGTATCTGTATCTTTTTGAGGGTCGGTTTACCCCGGCAGTGCGGTAATTCAGCATTTATCTGGTCGGGTCTGGCTCTGGCTCTGGCTCTGGGTTGTTCCTGGGCCTGGGCCTGGTCCAGTCTCAGTTCTTGTGGCAACTTGATTCTTAATTATTGCATTTATGCTGTGCCGACAAATTTGTGGTAATTGAATATTTGAAGCCTCAGTGCTCCTTGGGTTCTAGTCTGGTTTCAGACTGGATTATTAGGGGCCTGTGCCTGGGCTTGGGCCTGGGCCGAGTGATGAAGTCAATGTGCAATTGGCATTTGGTTTTGGGACTCAACTCAACCACCTTTGTCTCTCGAGTTCATAATTAGTTCGTTGAGTTATAGTTTACTTGGGGGTTAGAACTTGTTATCTTTGCTTAGCTGCATTTTTGGGTGATTCCGCTCTGGGGGGTGTCTGGTTATAACCAGATTATGCTTGTCAAAGTCCCAGACTGCCCAGACCCAAACTCAGACCCCGACTGACTTTCCAGAGTGGGTTAATGAGGTTATTGAAGAGCACTGGTTAAAGTTTACATGCAGTTCAAAAGGCTTTCGAAGGGCTATAAACGGGATGGCTGCGCTGGGCTGGTAACTCTATCCCTGACCCTCTTTTCTCTTTTCCTTTTTTTTTTTTCTTTTTTTTTTTTGGGTAAATTCTTACAAATTATTTTCAAATTAATTTACTCAAGGATATGTTAGGTAAAATTCATTACGAATTCAAATTGTATCTTTTGCTTTAATTGGTTTGCTTGTTTGCTATTATTTCAGGGCACATTTTCGCCTCAGGTGCCTCCAGGACAGAGTTTTCCTGACTGCCATTCTCTCGTGTCGCATTTGTCAATATTTTCTATCGAGAGTCTGTTCGCTAGAGGGCACACACACAGAGGGAGAGAGGAGGTACGGGGTACGGCTGGGCAAACAAACATGCTTAAAATAACAAATTAGCATAGACCAAGGGGACTGACTGTCAGAAGAGCAGGCCATGACTACTAGACTACTAAAACAACAAATACACAGAGAGGGAGAGCGAGAGGAGAGAGAGAGCCCTTGGGCACGGGGTTGAGGTTGGGCTGCCTCTGGGCTACCAATTTGGTACACTCACTCAACGGATCGAGTTGGAGCCCCAAGTATCGCCTGGTCTCTGCTCTCTCTGCCGCTCGTTGGTTACATCAATCACCATCAACACCATCAGCACTCATCGACATCGACATCGTAACCAAAATGGCGCGCTTGGGGTGTTAATGATGCCGACTTTGAAATTTTACCGACGCGCCCACAAGACTGTTTTTTTTTTTTTATTTGTTTTTTTTTTGCACAAAAAGTAAATAAGGCAAGTGTCGTTTTCAAGTTTTCATCATCATCATCATCGACATCGTCAACGGCGCGGTTCACATTCGTCATTGGGCAAACAAATGAAGGGGACCGCTGACAGATACTTTGTGAATATTTTTTTGCTGTTTTTTTTCTTAGCTCCGCGCTGAATGATGTGCGAACAAGTTGTAATTATTTCGCATTAAGCCAAGGAACCAAACTGAAAACCAACCGCAATGGAATGGAGATCTCAAGATGAATGCAACTGGCGAAAGAGAACCAAAACTGAGTTGAATAATGGCCTTAAGGAATGTCTTGAATGCAGCTTTAAAGGCTCAATGAATGAGTGAATGAATAAATATTCTGAGGGCACATGCACGAAATTAAATTGAAATACCCAAAGAATTTTGTTATGCTTAAATCTAATCGAAAAAAAACCAGCTCAGAATTTGTTCCTGCCATTAGGAAAATTATGTCAAAATTCCACCACCCTCTGGGGGTTTTTTTTTTTTCGTTTAATCTGGAGAGAAATCAAACTGCTGCTGCTGCTGCTGTTGCTGCCACATTTTGTTGCATTTAATTAAGCAAATGCTGCTACCAGTTGATGTTGAGGCACAAGTTTCCCACGTTACGCACTTCGTAGCCCCCGTAAAGCCTACCTCCTACCTCTTACCGCCTACCAAAAAGTCGTTAGCAGACTGTTGGTTGGGCCACCCTCCTCCTCTAGGCGTTTCGATTTTCAGATACTTCCGCATTTTGTCACCGGAAAGGTAAATCACAAAGCTGACCACGCAACAAGCGGAATTTTTCTACATACCATTTTCCACCGTTTTATGCCCGTTTTTATATTTTGGGGGTGAAAAACGTGGCATTGGAAAACGTCGCAACAGCAACAGCAACCCCCCCCGAAGGGCGGCAAAATGAGTAACCACCGCGATAGCCAGCGAGCCAGCGAGTCGGCGAGTCCTCCCCGCGCGAACAATTTAATTGCATTCGATATGCGTTTCTGTGTAAATTTCCCACGATTCCCACGATTTTCGTTTTAGATTTAGAAAGGTAAGTAGCTCACGGTCCAGATGCTTTGATAACAAAAAAAAAAAAAGAAGCTGGCTGGCTGGCTAATGCTGCCAGAGATGATGATAGTGAGCACGATGATGATAATAATGATGATGATAATGATGGTGGTGGTGTAGGACTCATCATCATCTCTCCTCCTTCTTGGACTCGTCATCGTTATAATCAACATTTATGGCCGCTGATTGTTTTCGCGACTGACCAGCAGAAGGGGTTGTTGGATTGCGTTTCAATGTTAATGTTGGGGTGGTGGCTTGGTATCTCAAGAAAGATAGATCGTAGACCCTCTCTGCCAAAAGGCGTACGTAGTCTGAGATTTGTGTGACTCATAACGAGTTTCCTTTCGCCCCGCTTGGACCTTAAGTGGATAGCACATAGCAGCGCAGCGTATTGTTGTAGCGCCTCACCGATCCTTTGTCTGCCACAGCTGCCGCTTTGTTCGCTCCTGGACAGTCCAGTCCTCAGTGCTCACTGCTCAGTTCCTTACTCCATCCATAATCCTGTTTGCCGAGAGAAGAGGCACTTCGCAGGGCCTTCAGTTACGGCGGCTTATCAGAGGGCCATGCCAAAGCCAGGAGAGTGGTAAAGGATACTTTATGTAAATTTTATGTTTTAGTTACTTTTCTTTTCCCCCTCTAGGAGTATTCTTAATCCAGTTTAAATCGATCCCAGCAGGGATGGTCATCGAAAGGGGACACTCTTCTGATCACAGATCTTAGGGCCTCTTTTTGAGGGCCTCTGATCTGCCCTCAATGACTAAATATACATGCGAAATATGGTAAATAGGGGCAGCCCATATTTACACATTAAACAAAAATTATTACCAAATTTATTGTAATTATGGTCTACCGGTTTTCAGTTCATCTAAGCAAATAGTAAAATTAATTTACATAATAGGGCCTCCTGGTCGGCGTTTACCGAAAATATTGACTGTTTACCTAGCTCGGTACTTCGTAAATTGTTGCACTGAACTGCTGCTGCATCAGCTGTTCGCCCCAAACACAAAGGGCCAGCCCACACGTTGCGCTGACAATTCATTCGCTTATTTATTTATATCACTTTGCGACACTTCCCCCACCATTGTCTCTGACACCGGGCGGGCGGCGCATGCCACAAAACTCCGTTCGAGTGCACAAGACAATGGGTAAGAAATTTCCTACAAAATCAAACAATAATAAGATTTACAAATATACTCTCGGCTGGGTAAATTCACCAACAAAAAACAATTCGAAATTCATCTGTGGAAACGTGCCAGGCAAAATGGAAAGTTAATCTGTTTCTTGTAGATCAATCCCAATGGGCAGGATGTTTCTGTGCTACTTTTTAGGGAACGGTTTCCGTATAATGAGAAAATAAATATATTGACCCATCCCTATTGACTCTACCTCCACACAAATCAAAAATGCATCCATTAATCATTAGGTTAATGAGAAGCACTTCCATATTCAAAAATATATCAAGTATGCTCCTATCGAAACAATTTTAAATTAAAATTTAAAATCAACATAAAATATAATATTTCTTATACGAACTTACCATCGATCTACATTTGCGGTGGATAGTGCTTCCACTGCATCAAATTGCATCTGTAAAATAATAATAAAAAAAAAATATAAAATATATTTAATAAAAAAATTAATTTAATTAAATTAAAAAATTCCCGTTATTGTAAACAAATAAAAAACCGATTTCATAATTTCAAATATAATATATATATACATATACATATATATAAAAATACATATATAAAATATAATAATAAAAAAAAATAAAATATAAAATAATAAAATAAATTAAATTAAAAAAATTCACGTCATTGTAAACAAATATAAAAACAATTTCACACTTTCAAGCATAACCCGAAATGGTCCTTTTTTATGTTCGTGTCCATTCGCTTATGGGAAATTTATACGGTAAAATATAAATATAAATAAATATAAATATAAATATTTAATGTAATTCATGGATCAGAGCTTAAGCTTAATTTATTATATTTAGATTTAAACTGCTATTTTTTTATATTATAAATTTATGTAATCACACAGGTATTTTTATGTATTTATTAAATATTTTTTGAGTTAAAAAATCAATCTTATTTGAATAAACTAAAATATCCTGATATACGTCGTTTGATTGAACAGAAAGGTACATTCAAGGTCGTTGGAGTACTCAGCCGACAAGGCCAGGACTCGCTCATGCAGTATCATATAGCAGAAGAAGATGATGACACTCAGGAAGAGATACTCGTTCTTGGGCACATTGAACTGGCGACCGTGCACAATGGTGGCCGTGTAAGTAATCATCGAAATGGCAAACAGGGCAAAGTAGTTACGTACGGCTGTCTCTACGGAAGCGGCACCCGTGATGTAGGCATTGAAAAAGAATAGAATCAGCATTATATTGGCCATGGCCACCAAAACGCTGAGCAACAGATCGCCAGGCACAACATACATGGGAAAGTAGGCCCCCCAAAAGATGGAGCACAACACGACGGCAAGAACAATGACCAAGGCATAGAAGTCCGCCAAATGATTCTGAATGAACGACCGCTCAATGGCTATGTACCATGTGGAGCTCTCAACGATGCAAACCGTAAGGGCAATATTAAAGGGAAATTTCCGTCCCACATCCGTCCAGGCCAGAGTGGCAATGGCAAAGAAGGTGCACGACAGCCACCAGCCATAGCGATCTGCGGTCAGCTTGTCCATGTGAAAATTAATTGCTGCCAGAATGATCCATTGGACCAGGCCAATCCCGGCGAAGAGAAAGCCCAGCTTGTAGATGCGACTGGTGTAGGTGATCAGCGTGTCGGGCGGCATCCCATACACCTCTGTAGCTCTCTTGTCCATAGTTCTCGGTATACCTTTTTATTGTTGGGGCTATTTTGAGATTTATTTCATGACCTCTCTGATCTCTCTCTCTCTCTCTCTCTCTCTTATCCATTGTAGAAGTCATAGTAATATGAAAAGGCGCACATGCTGATAACCATTATGATAAAGTGTATGTAGATGCTCAGCGAGCAGACCAGAGCCTCGCCAATGGGCGGGAACTTCAGACGTCCGTTGATGTACTGCGAATTAAAGGGTATCATCAGGAGCACCAGCACGAATAAAACTATGCAAAACACAAGTCCATAAATGGGATCATTCAGGACGAGCAGCAGTATGCCGTGCACAATGAGTGTGAGGATGCACAGCAGCAGGACACAGGCCGTGCACAGGGAATTGGGCAGCACCACCTGCGGGCAATAGGCCCCACAGAGATGCAGAACTACCAGCAGTACACTGGCAATTAGAACCGCAACCAGAAACGTCTCAACGTTCAGAAGGAACAGGAAGTGACAGCCAAATAGAGTCATGCAGATCACCATGGAGAGCACCAGTATCCAGTTGCAGGGAGCAGAAAAACGCGTCTGTGGAAAGCAGGACAATATCATCTGGCACATGAGGGCCATAAATAGCCAAACATAAGCAGGCACTCTCCACGTATCGACTATCCTAAATTCCAAGGCACATCCAATGGCCCAGGGTATCACCGACACCAGACAAAAGATGGCGGCTAAGAAGTACACTTGACGCCGAAACTTTTTCATAACAGACTTGTCGATGACAATGACAACATCACCGTCTTGCGGGCCATCTCGTCTGCCGATTTGATAGCGATATTCATTTTGATTTTGATTTATATTTAGCATTCTGTTGCTACTGCTGCTGCTGCTTCTTTATCGACTCTAAATGTTGTTGAACTCTGAATTTGGTGTTGACAATAAAGTGCTCGACGGCCTGGATGTAAAGAAATACTAAAGAAGGGAATGTAAATCGGAACGGTATCGATTTATTCAGTCACAGCGAACCCAGTCGCGGGGCTTGCACTCCTTCAGAGTCAGGCCAATTCGGGGATTAAACAGGATATTCAGCCGTATTCTGCTCCGAATGGCTATCATCTCATTCACTTAGAGAAAGCTCCGTTGTCGCTTCAATTGGCACACCGTCATGGCGATCCGTTGCCATCGTAAAGTAGCACAGGCAGCAGAATAACATGACGGATGTGAGGTAGAGCGTCAGAATGCTGACCATCTGATGGACGCGTGGCACCACCTGAAAGTACTCCACTCGGCCGTGACAGAACTGCGCCTGTATGGGTATGGCCACAATCAGCATAATGAACAGAACACTGACAAAGGCATCCAGCACTTTTATGCTGCCGGTGGAGAGCTGTACGCTGCCGAGTACGATCAGGGCCAGGGTCATGGCCATCATAAAGCCACTGGAGACAACACCGCCGGGCAGGAACTCAACCGGACACTTGGCGCCCGAAAAGTTCAGCAACAGCACCAGCAGCACGGACAAGGCGAGCAGCAGCAGCAGCGTCAAAACGCTAAAATGATGCAGCACACAACAGACGGCCAGTGTGGTGCAGAGCCACACAACCAGGGCCAACATCCAGTTGCAGAGCGTCACCTGGGCGATCATGGGCACACAGTGGAGCAGCACCATCACGAGGAAAACGATGACGACGAGTATGTAGTTGGGGAACGGCATATACTTGTAGATATACTTGCCGTCGGAGCTGGCCATCACAATCCAAATGAGCACGGAGACGGCTATCATGGGTATGCCGTAGTTGTAGAGATTCGCAATGAATTTGGTGAGGGCGTCGTCCTCCTCACTGCGATTGGAGCTGCGCCGGTGCCTCTGCGAACGTCCCGAACGTGTCGAACGTGCCGAACGTGCCGAAGGTGAAGAACGTCTATCCTCATCTAGCTCTGCGGACATTTGAATACAGTTTGAAGGCTTCAGCTCTGTCAATGACAATTCAAACTGAGACTGCTACAGCTGAGACATCCAATAATAGAAATAGAATCCTCCTCTGGGCTTTTTTTGGTTTATTTCCGCATCAATCGGCGTGTATCCACATCAGATAGTAAATGGACACAAAGAACATCAGGGCATGCACATAGACCGTAATGGCACAGTAGACAAACTCATGGGGCGGCAGATAGAAGCGTCTGCCGTGCACAACCTCTGCATGATAGACGCTGGCGGGCACCAATATTGCGCACAGCAGCGAAAAGTATATGGTGTGATATATGGGATTATCGGTGGCTATATACAGCGATATCACAATAATACTGGCCACTGTGAAGAGTATCAGGCACATGCACATGGAGATCTCTCCGGGCAGCAGGAACATGGGCAGCCAGGTGCCCAGCGAGTAGCAGAGAAAGAGCAGCGTCAGGCAGACGATGAGCGCCAGGCAAACGGTCATCAGGGTGCGCTCCACCAGCACCAGACCCACACCCATGGCGGTGAGCTCCACGAACAGCCAGGCCACAATCCAATTGAACCAACAGTTCCGGCGCAAGCGCACACAAGTGTTGAGCACAATGAGCGTGAGGAAGGCCAACAGCAGGCACAGAAATCCGGCCAGTATATAGGCCACATTCGGCTTGAGGGTCTCCGAGATGATCATCCAGTGCCAGCAGGCGACGAACACAAACATTCCAGCCGCCATGTAGCAACGTCGCATAAACTTTTCCACCTTCTCTGGCTCATCTTGCACCATTGCTGGCTCATTGTTGGCCGGCGCCTGCCTGTTGGCCAGGGCCTGTGGCTGGTTGCTCCTCGGGCTCCGCTCCGTCTGGCGCCGATTCAGTAAGCTCTGCTGCGGCTGTGCCGCTGGCTGTGGAAAGTGATGCAGTTGGTGGAGGCCAGGCTTCAGTGCCACCCCGTAGCGTCTCGGAATGGATCGACGCATTTTCGTTGGGGGTGAGGGTGTCACAAAAAAAAAAAACACACACAAAATTTTGACACTCAAAGCAGAGTCCCTTCATCCGAGACGTTATCCAAACGGAATGAGCCAGGTTTTGATATCACTAGAAAATCCCATGCAAACGAAGGCGATCTTTAATCAATATCAGGTTTCATTTCATTGAAAATGCGACACTAAAATGGTTTAAATAAATGCATCCGATGGATACATTTGCATGTTATCGGCGCTTGAAATATCTAATGCTAATTTGCACTTAAGGCTGTTCAAATATATAGTAATAAAATGGAAAACCCAATCACAAGTTACATTTTAAGCTTAAGGTTTACGAAACATCAGAGTGAGGGCGATCTTGACATTATTTCGTGCTTAAAAGTAGCGGAAAATGGCACTAAAAATGTAAAAATATAATAAATATTCATTCAAAGAAATAATAATAAAAAAAACGGCTTAAAAACGGGTTAATAAATAGTAAATAAATTAATAATAGAATAATACATAAATAAATAAAACAATAGAAAAAGAAATAAAAAAAAAAAAACAAACAAATTAAAATAAAAACAAAAAAAAATAAATAAATAATAAACTAATGAATAATAAAAAAATAAATAATAGAAAAATAAATAAATAAATAATAAATCAAAAAAAAAATAGAGAATAGAAAAAATAAATAAACAAATAATAAATAATAGAAAAAAAAAAATAAACAAATGAATGAATAAATGAATGTAATAAGTAGTAATACAAATAAGTTCTAGATCTTTTGTGTAATATCAAAAGTAATTTCGAACTCCGTGTAAAATATTTGCAGCAGATATAAAATGCCTGTAAAAGATATAATCAATCTCCGATCTCTTAACTTTTCCCGCTGCTTGCCAGCTTAGAGCATAAATATTGAACCACACACACACACACCCGAACACACATAAATTTTCCGTAAAGCTAAGCCCCATTGTCCGTACGGGCGGAAAACCCATCGAGGCATGCAAAAATCGAGGCAGCGCACAAAAGAGGAGGGGAGGGCATGGAAAAACGGAAAATGCTAAGTAGCTGGGCTGCGAGGCTGCGAGGCTGCGATCAAAGCCAACAGAATAACGGAAGCCACAAAGGATGCTGTTGCTGCTGCTGCTGCTCCTTACTCCTTTCCTTTGCGTTCCCTTTACCCCTTCGCTGACATTGTTTGTTGTTGTTTGGCCTGATCGCTTGAGTGACACGCAAAGGATACAAGCATAGAGCAGAGGAAAAAACAAAACAAAAAAAGAGGCATCTCTGAGATACATTTAGGAGCCGCATCTGCGGCCTCGATCACAACGATCCCGATTGCCTGGCATTGTTCACCGAATGACTCAATCTCAATCAGCTGGCTACGCTGCTGCTTATCCCCCGGATGCCAGCGCTAAAGACATGCAAATGTTCTCTCGTCTGGCAGCTGTCCTCTGAATGCAATAGATATATGGCTACTATCCATATATGTAGCCGATGGTAACCCCTTGAGTTGCCAATCAAATTGTTAACGTTTCAGCCTGCCACTTCTCCTGATTGGTCTTGATTGGATTATTGATCTCCTTGAGCCCTGAATATAGGGATACACTCTACACTGTACAGAATGTGTACTAGCTGCTGCTTCGGGTCATTGTACTTGCAAAATTCTGTGTATTTTTGATGCCCCTTTTTATTAATTATTTCCTTTGGGGGCATGTCCATTTTTCAGTGTTTTTTTCTATGAAAACCTGCCGCTTAGAGACGCGATAATGTTTGCCTAAAATATTTACTATTTAATGTTCACTTCTCTGAAGATATGGCACATTGATGCACTCCATATTCTGCCAATATGTGGACCCATCTGATAGTTGCTCGTTACGTCACTTTTCTCATAGCTGCAGCTCCCAGCTGGCAGTCAAAATATCAGCAATAATATTCTTAGAGCATTTTTACAATAGAACAAAAACAAAAAAGTGCCGCCGCCCCGAAAGTGAAAGCGTTGGCAAGTGCCTGACAACGACATGCAACCGAATGCACTGGAGCAGAGGCACGGGCCGCACACACACAGATGTCCCACATGCAACAAAAACTAACGGCAGTGACCGCCTCGCCTCTCGCCTCACGCCACTCGCCTCTCCACAACATTCATCCATCCGCTGACAGGCAGGCAGGCAGGCAGGCAGGCAGCGCCCTAACTCTATTTGGGAATTTTGCATGCCGCAAAAAGCACAAGCCAAAAAGCTTACAGAAGCGTAACGAGAACGAGAACAGAAAAGCCCGAGGAAGAGGAGGAGTAGGAGGAGTGGTAGGGGCATGGCATCCCACTGTCATCCGTGGGTCAGTGGAGAAGACAGACAGACAGACAGACAGACAGACAGACATACAGGTTGTCTCATTCTACGTGCTTTTGGTGTACGATTTATAATATTCTATTAGTTCCACGACCCGAGCTCGAGCCACAGCCCCAGCCAGCCCCAGCAGCAGCGCCGAGAACCGACAGAGAGCGGACCCAGCCCCGGCACTGGCTGACTGAATGTTGTGTGTGTGTGTGTGTGTGGCAGCGCAGTTAGCGCAGATAATACATCCGTTTCCGGTTAAGCCCATATTTTTGTGTCATTTAGTGTGTGTGTGTGTGTGAGCAGAGGCAAGTGCCTAGACAACATGTGGGAGTGGAACAGACAGCTACAGATGCTGATGGCTAGACGCAGACAGGGTACAGGGCACAGGGCACCGGCAGGGCACAATGCCGCTGACATGTGCCATGGTCTAACGAGGGGGGCCATGATGGTGGGGTGGGGTGGGACCTGGGGCTGTGCCCATCAAGTGATGCGACAAGTGCAGCAGACGCTGGAGCGGAATCGTCAACGCTTCCGCATATTTCTCATTTCCACAATTAAACATTGTAGAGGGACTCTCCCACAAGGGTTGCTCCCCCCAATCCACACCGCCCCCTCCCCGCCATGGCTGCATAGGGGTTGGATTGTCTGTTGTTGTTGTTGGCCAACTGCTTCTTAGATAAATCAAAGCCCAAGCAATTAATAATGCAATTTTCGGGCAGCAGCGTACAGCGGGTTTGTTGCATTTGCTTCAACCCAAAACGGAAACTCAAATGGAGCTTGCATGAAGTCGTGTAATTATGTCCAACTCCCCTCTCCACTATCCCCCCCCGCCTGCTGAACAAAAACGGAAGTTCTGCATGACTTTCTCTGGCATTTCCCTTATCTCTCTCTGTCTCTCCCTCTGTCTCTCGCTGTCTGTTAATGAGCCAGCCCTCCCCCTGTCCCTTGTTGCTGTTATTTATGAGTTATTGTATAACACCTTCTGATTCGGCAACTTCAGCTTCTGTTTTGCCGTGTAGCTCTCCTTCCTAGATCGTCAAAGAAAAAGACTCACAGCGTAGTGTAAATAAATGAATAATCGAAGTGGAAAGCTGTTTAAACACAGACACACCCCACACCCGCACCCGCACACCCTCTGTACACGCTGCAGATGTCTGTCCAAAAATATCTTTTTTGTAATCATCAAAAATTGTTTACAACGCGTGGAGTGCCACCTGCTGCTGCTGCTGCCGTGTAAGTGCGGCAAATGCATTCAAAATATTCATTCCAGCCGATTTTTATTTCATACTCAGAGCTTCTGGTTTGGGCCTGGGTCTGGGGTCAGGCCTGTACTCGCACCATCCACAGCTAACAATATGCAACATGCTCTAATATATCCGACACGGCGCTACTAATTATTGTACATATTCGTCTATTTGTTCTAATGTTAATTTGTAACAAGTTTCCGCTATTTCGCTTGCTAATTTATTTTTTCAACATTTTTTTATTAGTGGCATAAATTTGCGTGCCACCTGTCGCTGGTTTGGGGGAACTTCCTCTTCAATTGTTGAATATACATATATCAACTTTTGGTGGCAATAAATTTACATTTTTTATACTCCCGACCCTCACTAGCGGGAGTGCAGAGTAGAGTACTTAACACAGAGTAGCTTAGCATTAGCGGGCGAGTTTTCGTCTCTTTCATTCTCTTTTCACTCGCTAGCTATATTCTAAAATATTCCTTATGGTATTTTTTTTTTTTAATGTTTATAAATTAAACACAGAGTAGCTTAGCATTAGCGGGCGAGTTTTCTTTCTTTCATTCTCTTTTCACTTGCTAGCTATATTCTAAAATATTTTTAATAGTATTATATATATTTTTTTTTTATATTAAAAATGTTTATAAACTTAACACAGAGTAGCTTAGCATTAGCGGGCGAGTTTTCTTGTCTTTCATTCTCTTTTCACTCGATAGCTCTATCCAAAAATTAAATTTTTTTTTAATGTATAAATAAATGTCTTATTGGGTATCTTTTTTTTTTCTTTTTTCAATAAAAAAGTTTTTTTTTTTTTTCCTTTTTAAAAAAAAGTAAATTAAACATTTAATTTTGCTTAAAGTGCAACGCCACCCTTTTAGCCATTTTGGATTATCTCCAATCTAAACCTCCATTTACCGATCAATTACTATCACTTTCCTCAGAGGCCCCCACACTGACCCACTGAGAAGACCCACACACAAAATCGCACAGCGCCAGAGCACCCAGACGATCTATGGTCTCATTGTTGTACCGTCTTTTGTTTGTTTTGCTTTGCTTTGGTTCGGCTAGGTCTCTGGGTGAATGATATTTCTTGTGGGTGTTTGAATTTATGAACAGTTTGTGGACTTTTTTTTTTTTTGCAACTCGTCCAAGAGCAGAGCCGCAGAACGGGGGGGACATGCTTTGAATTTTTGATTGATTTTTCGAGTGTAATAATATTTATTTATTTATTTGTATATATTTTTTTTTATGGCATTTCAAAATGTTGAAATAAACACGTTGTATTGCCGCTGTTAATGGCCGCATAAATTGTTGTCAGATATGGCTAATAAATATATATATGTACATATATGTATAAATATGTTTCTTGATTCCATATACACTTTCCACCACCCCCCTCTATTTGTTTATTCATCATACACACATTTGTCGCTATTTGTCCGCCGCACGTGCCAACAATTTTCGGTACGGGCCCAGAGACGACGGTCTAATGCGTGCATTAGTGTGTCCATTAATCGAAAACTACGAAATAAAA